CCTCCCCCGTCCCAACACCACACCAAAACTGCCGGAGTCTCCCGCCCGCAGTCATGCGTCTCAACCGCCTGCTCCTGCTGCCACTGCCGCGACTGCACGCCGCTCACCTGCGGATCAATCTCGTCCTGCAGAACGGTAAGGTCGGAGCCCAAGATGCGGATCTTCTGCCGCGTCCGAGCGCTCAGGAACGGAGACACCACGCGGAACGAGAGTCCGAACCATGCCGGGGCGTTCACCACGAAGGTCTTGTGGCAGCGCTCCACGTAGTGAAGGCGAGCCAATTGGGCGACGGCCTTCACGTACTCCTGGATCTTTCCCGCCAAGGTCTGGGGAATCACCATGGACGGAAGAGATGGATTGGCGGAAGAAGGAGAACGAAAAATGGGGGCGAGAACAAGCCTTCTTGCGCAGCTACATGTTGGGGTTGGCGATCTCTCCCTGTCGCAACTTTGCAAAGGTAGTGCTTGCTCGGCAAATGCGAAGATACAAGATACAGAGGTAAAGCAAGCAGCCATCGGAGGCTCTATCCACGTGTAAAGCTCTGCAAGACCACCGAATCAAGTCCCCAATTTTCCACCGCCACATCTTTGAACGTGGGCGATCAAGCGCGAGAGACGTATGCTATTCTAGCACACGTGCGCCGTTGGCGGTAAACGAATCATTAATAATGGTTCTTGCGCACACGTCCTGCTCAACGGTAGACTGACCTGTATCCTGACGTCCTTCATGTCCTCGATGTTGATCTGTTGAGCCGAGTCCGTCGGCTGCAGCACGCGGTACATATACTCCGACACGAAGATCCAGTGCCTTCATTCGTACATTCGTACATTCGTACATTCGTCATTCAATCATTCGGCAAAAACCAAACAACAACAAACACCGCACAGCATCGACAGCAATTGGCAAACGAGCCCATTTCACATGCTTCCAACGGGAAGAGAGGGAATTCGTGATGCACGCCTCGTAGATCAGATGAAACATTTCGCCAGTGAACAGCGCAAACACGTTCTTTGCGAATGGCACCAAAATCAGCGTTCGAGCACGAGATGGCCTTGCCGCGATGCGTGTGTCGCCACTTGGTGGAAATGACGTGAGAGAGAGAGCAGTTCGGCTCGCGAGAGGTGCACCTGCGGTTGTAACGGCATGACGGGTAAGAACAGCCCATGATGGTCGAAACGTCACCTACAAGAAAGGACGGCTACTGCTGTGTACACGAGAAGTCTTTCGACGCATGATACACTACAATATCATATTTGTTACCTGAGGAGCATTGGCACGGTCACACCTAGTTTTCTCCTTAGTGTCCGCATGTCTACAGCTCCAAGCTTCTCGTACACCACAATGTGCCCCCCTCTGCTCCTTCCGCTCCTAGAGGACACAAGAGCACCACAAGCAATACGGCATGCACCGGCAAAGCGTGGGGTTGGCATCAGTGCAAAACGCGTTCCTGTTATTCGTTCATCGTCCCAGCGTTTTTTCCCATCGCCGGCAGGAGCTCGTGTCCCGAAGCTTCCTCAAACGAGTGCAGCTTCTGGAATCCACGTACACCGCCCACACAATGTCATCATCAGTTGAATACTGTCTTCTAGATAGTATTTGTTTCTCTGTCCGGTCAATGCGAACCAACATCGTGTCATCGTGACAAAAACGAGCGAAGTGTAAAACACCAAACACGAAAAAAAACACACGCAGAGGCAGTACTCATGATAACGCCGACGCAAAGCTGCGAACGTTTTCCTTCATACAAGTGCAAGCCTTTTTGTACATAACCCATGCAGCTCTCTGTAAGCACACCTGTGGCATGGCTTAACCCCGTCCACCACACACAGCAAGATGAGCACGACCACACCAAGCGGAGACACCTTCAAAAAACCCTGCAGCAGTAGACACAAAACCCGGTTGGCTCACATGTGACTCGGGAAGTAGCGTCGGATGTCGTGGAAGAACTGTTGAGGCTCGTTGAGTATGGCGTCTATCTCGTTCTCCTTGCGCCACTTGAGGGTGGCTTTCCACCTCTCCAACGCGTGCTTTTCGTTGCCGCAGAACGCCCGCACGTAGCGAGCCGGTATCTTGTGTTCGAGCGCTAGGGGTGCGGCGGCGGCGCGGTCCATAGCCTCGGCAGCCTGTGTGGTGTTCCGTTTGGTGGATCGGGGGATGTGGTGTGAGGTGTTCCGATTGGTGGGTTGCGGGATGTGGTTTTTAGTCCTAGCGATGATGCCATCATAATTGCCAAGTGCCCAAAGCGAAACAACAGCAGAAGTCCAACGCATGCCTTTATGGAATCTGTGACAGAATTCTGTTAGCGTATGCTACGAGGAGCGATGGCTCACGCTACAGTCTTCTGGCCTTCCTATATTGCATGGCCAAAGCCTAAAAAATCAGCGCCATGGGCAGTGGCCTCCACCGGTCTAGAGTCTGTGACGAAATACCAGAGCGATATGCTCAACAGAGCCTCCATTGCATCGTCCAACCTAAAAGCATTGTTCGTTGATGATGGTTACCCATCTTCCGAGCCGTGCCCACCTCGATGACGTGCGCCCCTTCCGAATCCTTGTCCAACTGATGGGATGCGCTTCGGTGCAGCAAGCGCGGGTTGTGCACCCTACTCGCAGATGGCTCCAGGAGTTGCCGAAGGTATTCTCGGATAGCCCCGTAGATGCGTTGGTTCGCCACCACGATAGCCGAAACCAAGGCAGACATCACGATGCAGAAAGCGAACACGTGGGGCGGCAGGCAGACCATGTTCTGAACACAGGGGCAGCAAGTGCGCGCAGCAGCAAGGCAGAGTGGAAAACGTTATCAGCGCGGGGGAGGGGGGAGGTATTGGTTGGGCTTACCGTAAGTCTCGTGTCTGGTAGGTAGTGTAACAAACGGCGGTTTTGCCGCATGAGAACGAACCTCTTTGGAACTAAATAAATCGACCTTTTGGGGGCATCTTTTTGACCCCCGTTCTGTTCGCCTGCTTTAGCTGGCGAAGAATGGTATCGAGGACATTTTGACTAGTGACAGTCTCAAGTGGGGATGCTGCTTTCCCCGCGAACCCAGGCATGGAGGAACTCTCCTCTCCGCATCATCCGGTTAGCAGGCGTTTTCTCTCTCTCCTTTTTAGATCAATTTTGGCGGAAATTTCGCAATAGATCCGATTTTCCTTGCGCCTTGGAGGGAAGCGATCGACAATGACTCGTTAGCGCCCCCTCCACCTTTACTGCTGTCGCGTGTTTTGGAGGGTGCACACAGTCCAGGCAAATGTCTCTCAGTCCAGACAACCACAATCAACCATTTTTTTTCTCACGCGACCAAAAAGTTCAGTTTCCTTTCGTGCAGCACTGCATATTGCTTTTGTTTGCTAGCAATCCTGCTCTTTCCCCGCACAGAATCTGTCCCAGATTTCCCCAAGTACTTTCTGTCGTGCTTCCGGCCAAAACGATGAACACTAATGTAACAGGCACTTTCGTCCAAAGCGGCAAAAACCCATTCGTTTCCGCCCCTCCCCAAAAGCCTGTTGTATGCTGTAGATTGGTATGTACTTCTACAGTTATAAGCACACATTTATATGTTTTAGATGTAACGGCAGCAAAACTGTGACATTGCCCCGAAAAACGTCGAACACTCTCAAGAAGGAGATGTTGATGTTTCAAGCTCTCAGCAAACTCCGTACAACAGACGACACAAATGTATTGGAGTTACTGCTACCCATTGCACGGTAGACAGAGAGAGGGAGAGAAAGAGAGAGCCAGCCTTCTCTGCACATTAGTGCCGTCTGAACTACTGTAATGTGGCTCACCTGAGAGGAAGGGGTGTCCTCGCAGCAGCTGCAGCCGTGAGGCTCATCGGAAGTGCTCGTGAATGCCTCCAGGGGCTCGGGAAGGTCCCAGACTGCAGCTGCAGCCATCATTGCATTTCCCTCGCCTGCGGTAGGCCAGTGGCAGAGGTGGAAGCAAAACCTCTCAGCTCTTCTTGCGTGGGTGGCTGGAGAAGGGCTAGGGAACGTTTGTGGTAGGTGCTACGTCCCGGCCGTGCGGCTTTCACACAGCAGCAGTACCTGGGCTGAGAAGTTGAGTTGAAGTCTGCTGTGAAATCTACCCCACACGTCGGACGAGTCGTTGATGCACCGGATGCTTTTAGCTTTTGCTCGGAAAACAGGCGAAAGGTGACGCCTGATCCCCACCACGACTCCACATAAACACGAGCCCTACTACAATCTCAACGCTGCTTCCTCCCGAGAGCTGATAAGGCGGCGCGTGGAGCAGGGGGTTGCACTGCTGCTCGCATACGTGTGTGCTGTCAATGCTGATGAATCAACGGGTGGGGGGATGATGAAGACCCTCCCCGGGTTTTCATCTTCGAATTTTGGTTCTCGTGGTTCCGTGGTTACCGTGAGCCAAACCGGAGCATCTGGCGCAAGCGCAAGCGCACCACCGACCACCTTCGCTACACCGAAGGCGCAGTCTGTCATCTCTCCCGTCGTGTCAACTACTGGACGTCACGAGTGTGTATCGCAGAAGCACAGCTATAATATTGCGCGCACGTGGGTGACCAACAGAGTGGTCAACAGGTTGGAACTGGCTTCGAGAACTTCAAATCTGTTGAACCATGGCCGATGCAGAGGCCGGATGTGTGCCTGAGATCTCCAAGAGGCTGCAAGTGGGGTGGACGCTGCTGAATCAGCACTGTCCGATGCCGAATTGTGGCACACCGCTTCTCAGAGACCACAAAAAGAAGGTGAGAAGGGACTAGACAGCAGTAGGTGGAGTCCGTTTGTGATGCAAATGACGCTTGAAACCACCCCCCCTCCCCTTCCCCGAGGTAAGCGGACAGCCATGTTGTTGATGCTAGCCCCACCCTGGCTGTGCCAGGCGCGTCGGTGCAGTGAGTCACACATTGAAGCACGATATCCATCTACACGCTGGCATGTAATGATGAGTAGTCTATTTCGTCCAGAGATCGGTACGCATGCTTGCCAGCGGCTCTTGGCGCCATTTGCTGCGGCTGCTGCAACTTCGCACTTGGGAGTAGACTACGTACCACGCTCCTCAGCAACTGAAATGCAAGGCATCATATCGATCGTTGTGGGTGATCTCGCGCCCGGTTCTTCTTCACCTAGAATTCAATGTGTCGTTTAACCACGCTGCTCTTTCCAAATCAAACCCTTGATACAAATTCTCCCACAACAAGGTCTACTGCGCGAAGTGCAAGATGTACTGCATCACACCCGAGGAAGCGAGGTCTCTCGGGGCCCCGACCTGCGCCTCTCCCGCGGGACCAGGCGAGGGAATGGCAACCAAGTCCCAGGATGCCCTTGGTTCAGACGCTGCTACCACAGGCACGGTTGGAGGATTATCCAGAGGCCAAGAGCGGCAACAGCCGCCGCCGGCACCGGGGTCGACGAAGCAACAGTCTCGGGCTGCAGCAGAAGCGGCCATGGGCGAGAAGCTGCTGCAAGGGTGGACAATGCTCGCAGATGAGTGTCACACTGCTGGCTGCTGCTTCCCGCTCATGCGCGATAGAGGGAGGGTCACGAGGTGTGTGGCCTGCGACGGTATTGCCACCGCTGCAGCGAAGGATGGTCTCGACTACGGTCTTGCTGCTGGTCAATTCGAAGGCCTTACTTCAACGGCCGCCCCCGCCTCGACTGTCAGCGCACCAAAGCCCCCGGCGGACAGCAGCAGCAGCAGCAGCAGCACGGCCGCAAGAACGGAACCAGTGATGTCTGAGGAACAGTTCGCGGCCGTGAGGAAGAAGCGAGACGCGCTCAGCGTCTCCCTTGGCCGCTACATGCTCCAGGGCTGGTCTCTTTCGGACAAAACGTGCCCCCGCGAGGGCTGCGAGCCTGGCACGCCCTTGCTCAAAGATCGGAGCACCGGGGTGTTCTACTGCGCTGGTTGCGACACTCGTGGTACGTGCGAAGGGGAGGCTGGGGGCTTGGTTGACGAGTCAAGCACGGATTCTGGTGCAATGGCGAGGTTGCCGTTGAAGCGGGATAGCTCTGGGGAGAGGAGCCGGGGTCCTCCTCGCGTGGACGAGGACGGGCCCGGGTTGCCTAACCCTAGCTCGGCCAAGACAAAGACACCAGAGGTACGACCATAACATGTACAACACATTGTATCGCAGCTTGCCTCGGGCAACCTTGCTGGTCTAGCATTTTTTTTGTTGAGGTGGTATGAGGTGCTGCAGATGTGAAAAGGAAGTGGATAATAATCCCAATCAGCCCCACACTTGTTGCACGATCTTGATGTCCGTTTTCGTTTTGAATACTCATCCAACCAATCAGTACAATAACACAAAGCACAAGAATGCGCGCGCAAGAAAAAGAACGCAAGTAGTAACTAACTGCCGAAACGCCACCAAATTGATAGGCAGCCTCCGCGGAGCACGTGACAGATAGATGTGTGCTCCGACCCTGTCGTTAGCAGGGTAATCTCGGGCAGGGGGGCAACTATATGCACGCACGCGCAAATTCGTCGAGATCGGAGTTATTGTACAATGGGCGCATGTATACAAAGTCATCAACCATCAATTGAATACATACTCCATCAATCTGATGGGGACAGTACAGACGAGAACAAGACCCACATATATATGCAAGCAACAAAAACAAATCGGTGCTGCGTGAAAAAAGGACGCAGCTATGATGATTCTGGTTGCATTCATTCATCGTATGGATGATCAAGAATAAATTTCAATGGAGCCTAAGAACGTGTATACGCCCGCGTAAAACAAGAACACAACACTGTGACGATCGAAACCCGGAGAAATAAACAGCCTCCGCGGGGCAGGTGACAGAGGTGGGCCCCGACCCTGTCGTTGGCAGGCTTATCCCGGCCTCGGAGTGGGTCATCCCAGTTCCGACCTATCAATAATGAACGTGCATCATGCGCGCGCCGTAATGCGGGGGGACATCAGTCATCAATCATCAATTGTGTGCGTGCAAGCTTGGTGCGTGCGACCTAAATGCGGCGGAACATACTTCCTCGTCGAGAGGTTGCAGCGGTGTGGCCCGAACCTCGTATTGGCAGGCAAACTTGGTAGACACACCGCTATTCCAACGTTGAAGGACTTGTCGATCCGGCTGTAGATTGGACGGGGCTTCAATTTGATGGCCGGTAGGCAACGGTTAGGCACAAATTCGTCGAGATCGGAGCAATTTGGTGCCGACAGCATCTGCTGCATGCTTGTGTTTTTGTGCTTGAGGAGGCCTGTCACCGTCATAGCCAAACTTGAATGAGGAAGTTCCAATCAAGTTCAAACTTGCTGAGGTCGTCGAAAGTAGTGCAGGACGGTCCGGTGGTCTGATTCCTTGAGCCTCGGGCGTTCGGCTAAAAAGAAGCGCGTGGTTCGGAGCTTCGGAGTGAACGGCGACAGAGACCGTATCGGTCTCCTTGAGGAGATGTTTGTCGTGAGCGTTTGGTCTGGAGTTCATCGTGGATCGATATTTCGACGCAACTGAGGGGGGACCATGCTAGCAGCGCGTTTGTTTGTACCTGCCGAAATGCGAGACGATAACCAATCTCGTTTGAGATCGTTCGGAATCGAGGTTTAGCCCTTGCCAGGGTATGGATTGCACTTGTGAAGGATCATCCTCGAAATTCTAAGAGACGCAAAGGTTGGTTTTATCGCTAAAGGACACAGATAGGGAAGGATTCGTTCGTCGTACAAAATATCGCACGTCTCAAGACTCTGTGTTCGGCTAGACCGTCCAGTGATCAACCCCTACATGTAGCTGCTTCCTTGTCGTGCACTGCGAAACGAAAGTGCTGCGATGGGGCTCATCTGCGACTCAAACGCACATATCGGCCACTACTCAATGCACTTTGCATGGGTTTCGGATCAGCTACATACCCTTGCAAACGCTGGTCCATCCCCTCAAAGCCATGGAGCAATATGTCTGTTTTTTTTTTTCACTGTCCGCGGCGTTCGGACTCGGAACGGATTTTCTCTACTTGTCCCCACCCATCGACACAACCATGATATTCCTCCTGGTCACTCGTCGAAACCTTGTGAAGGTGGAAAGCGAGTACGAGGTGGCGGAGAGAGCCCGCCTTCGCAAGCAAGCGGCAAGGGAACAGAGCAGCGATGGCGTCTCGAGTGCCACGCTGGCACAGCGATTGCTACAGGGGTGGGCCATGCTGAGCACGACGTGCCCCGTACCGGAGTGCCACAACCCGCTCATGCGCGACAGGACCGGGAGAGAGCAGTGCGTCAGCTGCAGGAGAGGCAGTGCGCCTGCTGCTGCCTGGAAGCAGGGAACAGCAGCAGCAGTAGCAGCGGCAGCGGCAGTGCCTGTCCAGGCGGCGGGAGACTTTGCCGGCGAAAAGGAGACGGAGAACGACGACGAGGAGGACGAAGCGATGATGGGTGACGGGGTGGAGAGGATCTACTCCGAGCGGCGCATGGCCGAAGTTCTCGCCGCCCCCGCTGCCTCCACCCTCCCCGCTGCTGCCGCCGCACCCGCGGAGACGTCGCGGGCGACAACCGTGCGGGCGGATGGCATCCCGCTCGACCCCTCGCGTGTGAAGGACCAAGCGCTTGACACCCTGTACAGGGCCCTTGACCTGTCGCAGCAGCGGCTCCGCGCGGGCTTCTCTCCGTCCCCCCTCGAGTCGTCTGTCGGTGTGGACGAGAGCATGCGCCAGGCGGATCTTATTGCCAAGCTAGCCGTCGCAGCTCGCGCGGTCCTAGATTTACCGAGTGAGACTTAGTCTTGGTACGGGAAAGGTTGAGTTGAGGCGTAAAATGCGATGAAGGATAGGCCAGGGTTAGGATCACAGTATCGCTATGGTTGCATTTGGGTCCCGCCCAGATCGGTAGATGCAGAAGGATGCTTTCATGCGTTCACGGATGGTTCAGCCCTGTTTGTCGAAAAGCGACAATTGTTTGTGGGTTGGTTCTCGTCCAACCATCGGGATTGGCACCGACGTGGTGTTATGTTGGCATCGACCTGTTTTAGTGGGACACTGGCGTGTGTCCTTCCTGGGAGGTCAACTAGACTGTCGGTTTGGCGGTGGAACCTATCAAGAGGGACTTTTGTGAGTCCGTTCGATGTCGTGATAGCCGTCCTTGTTGCGAGACAGCTCAGACACGGCTTTGCCTCTGGGTGCCAGATCCTTAAATCTTTTGGTCAGTGTTGGTCTCCATGAGACGCCGCTGGTAGAACGCAGATCATGCCCTTTTCACGTCAGAACACTGTCGTTGCGTGCACTTTGATCCTGACGGCTCTCTTAACGCCTTGCAATAACAGCTTCAATCTATTTCTGCACCCACTCCCTATGAACGTGTTTTCATTTTGAACCTCTGTCAGTTGCGACCAATGTGTGGCATCGAGTCTCGTTGGAAGTTTTGCCACTCTGGCAAGCAGCTATCCTCCGTCACGCAGCTGCATTCCGCCGTGCCTTCCTCCTCCGCGTAGAAGCCATCGGGGCACCGGATGCAGTCGGTTTCTGCAGTCGCTCCCGTCGTGTTCTGGTACGTGTTGACGGGGCAAAGTGCGCAATCATCCACGCCACTGCCTTTCCCTTTCGCTCGATATGTTCCCTTTGGGCACTGTTCAGAGTTGTGCACAGCAGACGTGGGTTTGTTGAGGGGGTGTGAGGTGACTGAGAGGAAGCGCTTATAGTTCGCACAAGACGAAGATAAACGACGGCCCATTGCCTCGGAGGGTCCCGTTGTATCGTTTGTCCTGATAGAGATGCAACTATATATGTACCTAGACACGCGAGATACACGAGGAGAGGAATATGACACCTCGGAAGCCCGTGGTCCTTTTCGGATGACTTGAAGTTCATCGTGCTTCGTGAGTGTCGCGGGGTTGCCTGGCTGTGCTCGCTATACGTACAGCAGTAGTAGCCCACCCAAGCCCACCCATTGTCGGCGGCCACGACGTAAACAAGCGGTTCGCAATACCGTTGTGTTGGTGACCGGACAAGATGCATTGAACTACTTGAGGATGCTGACCTGTGTGCACGTGTCTATCATGTCGTACGAAGTGTTGCGATAGGTGCCTGGAGAGCATTCCGACATAACGCCGTCCGCACACGAGTACCCTGGCTGGCATCGTAGCACCGCAATGTTGCATCCATCTCGACATTCAAGCCTTGCCTGTTTGCACCAGCCACGAGCACGGCACGCAAAGAAATTATTATGGTTGGTTAGGCCCCACTGTTGCTGTTCCTGGTTGTTGTGCTGTGTTTGCATGTGTTCTTCCGAACGACTGACGAAGTCGCCTGACTGAGAAGACAAGAGGGTTTACATAGCACAGCAGAGGGGGGTATTTTTCTTTCATATACCGTTGCACAGTAGTAGTGCGACTGCAGGGCACTTCAATGCTTGCATTTGGGTTAGACGTGTACAACAACACGTACAAGCGCCCAAAGGTCCTCGCCGCCGTAAAAACAAAACCCACCAAATTAATTACCTTTTCTGCGTAGTCGTTGATCCCCACGGACACGTTCCGAGCGTAGAAATCGTCGCAGAGTCCACCACAGGTTGTGTTTTGAGGCGAGCCCGCGAAAAAGTAGGAGCATCCCAGCTGGCAGAAGCTGTGGAATGGAAGCGGGAGCGGTGCCCTAGCGTAGGGGTACGTCGCATTTACCTCCGACGCGGGTTCGGTCGGCCCGACAAGTCGTTGGGTGTCCCAAACACTCCAGCTTCCACCATTCAGAGCATCGGCGACAAGTTCGGCGGTGGTGTTGCCTGCGCAGTCTAGGTGGCATTGCTCCAGGGTTGCGGAAACGAATAAGGTCGAATTGCTGGCAGTCATGGTCGTCCACGCTTGCCATGCCAAGGCCAACGTAGTGGGTACGACAAAAGCTCTCAGCAGGCCGCCGTCTGGTTTCATTCCCTCCTTGTTCAATCAAATTGTGAGCCGGGCGGCGTTGGGGTCGTCCAACTGTGGCGCGCCGCAGACGTCGGAAAACCGTCGTACATGTACTGTACGCACACAGCAGCAGTAGTTCTGCAAAAAAGTACGCCTAGACAAGGTGTTCTTACCCAGAGAGAGAGAGAGAGAGAGCGAGAGCGCGGGTCGGCTGCCCGACTCCGTCCTTCATACTTCTTATTGCCCCGCGTTTGTTCCTCCTCGTCTGTAACCGACGGTTTCAGAATGTTTTCGATTGTGCCGCGTCGAAAAAGTCGGTACAATGTTTTTGAAAAAGATCGAACAGTGCATGTGTATACGTGCCACACATCCTCGAAATCTCCGATGTATCCGAGTCACCGCATAGGTAGATTCGTAACTGGGAAAAAGATATCCATTCGACTGCAACGTTCTCCGCCATGAGCACAGACGCGATCGCTTCCTGGCTTCGTGTTCGGCAAATAAATTCTTTGGCCGGTCACTTCCTCGCGAAGGCGGCGGCGTCTTGCGATGAACCCGACAAGTTTAAAGGAAATGCCACCCTCGCCGGCTCAAAAAGGTACGCCATCAAGAAGAAGTCTTCTGTGTGTCCCCGGATCAAAGTTCTTCAGTAGAGAGGGCCGCAGAGGATAGTGTAAAACTGCGGATGACGATTGACAAACGAGACGACGAAAAAGGACGGAGTGGCGTGTTTTTCACACCCACAGCCCCAGCCAATTCGCCTTTATCCCTTGTGTGTGGTCGTGACAAAACCCACCCGACTGGCGCCCGGGTTACAACTTCCGAAAAACAACAACAGCAGAGGTACATGCTAGCGTTCGGTCAGCTTTCGGAGTACAGTGCGTGTACAATAGTCCTCCCACAGCAGCAGTGTAAAGTGGGTTTCGAAGTGCTTTCTTGAAAGAGTGCCAACAGACGACGTTTGTTTAGGCTACATGAAGTGAAGATTGCATCAAAGCTATTTGTGTGATGAACAACGATATAAATAGTGAAGTATACGTATTCCACCCCTCATCTACATACTAATTAACTTGCCCAGTGAGGCAATCAATTCTTGCTCGCGTCCCGCGACTGTATACAAAGAACTAACCTACAATTATGCCGCAAAGCGTCAACGCCTTCGTACACGTCGTGGCACCTGTCTCAGATTGCAGCCTGTGCACCACCGCGTCTTCTGGCGAGAAGAAACTACATCAACGTCGCTATGGGAAGGTGCTTATCGAGCAATAGAGGACGCAGCAGCCGCAAAAGGCAGAAAAAAAAAACGAAACTCACCAGCACCGCCTGCTTCCTCCACAGCCAAAGGTTCCGACGATCCAAAACCAACTAAACGGCTTAGTCCCGCCGCTACGATTCGAGAGATATCGAAAGCTTCGGATTTGCAGCGGCTAGCTCGAGTGCTTGACCACAGGAGAATCAACACTTCGTGCCGAGACACATTCGCAGCGGCCGTACGAGACGCCAACCCGGCCGTTGTTGAGATGTGGCTACACCACGGCAAAGAGCACAAAGGTGCCTACTTTCTTGACGCATTTCGTGCCTGGGGGGAAGCTGCTGCTGCCGGCCATGTTGGCGGCAGGGGGGGAAACCGACCTCCACCTAGCATCCCACTGCACTTGTCGTGCCATACAGGGGCGCCAGAAATCGTGTCGGTGCTTCTGCGCTTCATGACCGAGTCGTACTCGTGCGATGATCGAATCGCCATGGTGAATGCGAGAGATCTCAATGGAAGGACGGCTCTGCACTTGTCAAGCTGGTCGCCGCGGGCTCGTTGTCCTGGTACAAGAAATGTCATAATCAGGTTGGTTTTCTTCTTCTCTTATCGCCGCTACAAGATTGTGTACCTCGAACCATTCTCATGAAACTATCAGCGCTAGGATCGGGATAGTATTGTGCCGTAAGTAACTCGGGACGACCACAGTAGGGAGGTCTGGTTGGAGCTCGTGCCCGATTCAAGGGCGCGAGCATTTCGTCACAATTTCGACGTATGGCATATTTCATTTGCAGGGATTTAATCATCCCTTGATGTTTGCCGTGAGTGGCATTTCCCCTACTAGGACTTTACCGTGAGTTTAACGAGACCGACGGCATCGCATACTTGCTTACGTTGTCAAGGTTTTCCAGAAGCACATATGCTTGACAGGGCAAAGAAACTTCCGCGTCCACATATTGGAATGGCCTATCTCAGGTGCCACTCGCTTACCCACGTTATGTTATTTTGTGCTATTGGCCTCGTTTTAGCATGCATGGTAGCGTTCGCGTACGCCAAATCTTTTTCCAACACTAACACTTGCATTGACGACCGACAGATTGCAACGCCCACATATGCCCTCGGCGTGAGGAGAACGGAGCGGTCTCCGACGCGCCGTGCCGTATCTACTGATACCACGTGATAACACGTATAACTCCACGTTGGCGTGTACACCCGGGGCTGTCCTTAACAGCGAAATGTCGCGTACTAACCCTGAACTGCGAAGCCAAGACGACTCACGATACGCGTTATCTTTTGCACGCCTATCAGAGAGCTGCTTTCACATGGCGCCAACGTGAAGGCAGAGGATAACCATGGCCGAACGGCACTCCACGAAGCTTGTCGTGCTGTCGACCACTTCGCCGTGGAGGTGAGCAAGCGGACGAACTCGGACTACAGTCCAATCACATCGGTTTCAACGTATTCCTGCGGTACGACACATCACCCCTTAAATACGGTCAGGGCCCACGGCCAAAATAAAAACCGTAGCGAGAAGGAGGCTGACATGTCGTCAAGAAAAGGAGAAGGCATACGCATATTTCGAGACAAAAGGCAGCCAGAGACGTTCATAACTAACTTATAGCGACAGACGCTTCGAGCGGAACCGATCGAAAAGGTCTTGAGGTTCCAGAAGCCGTTGCAGACGATGCGGCAGTCACAGTTGTGGGAGATACGTTGCCATCGTTCTCTGCTGCTCTTCGCGGGATCGTACTTGTCGTGTGGTAGTAGGCCTAACCCTAACCCTAACCCCAACCCGATACTACATCTTATGCGTTGGCTGTGATGCACAGATCCTGTTAAAAAGCGGCGCGAACCCTCTTCAAGAGGACGATCGTGGCCGAACTCCGTTGGAAACGGCCACCGCAAAGAGACACTGGTAAGGAGGACGTGCATGCGCAATGCCTCTGTTGAACCGGCCGTCGAATTATGTCTTCTCCATGCAACGTAGAGGTATGTACTAAAAGTGTGTACAAGTCTCTACGTTTGAAAACAGCCCCCAACCATAGTTCATGTACTGTAGTTGCGGAATGTCCGCTGTACAAGAAGGATAAAAGTAGACGGAAGGTACAGGCGGATGTTTGAGGCATGGAATAGCCAGGAGAAGACATTAGCTGTACTGGGGCATAGCAAATGGGTTGAAAAGGCGGGAAGGGAT